AAAGGTGGAGACTCACATATCTCCAGGACTTTGTTTGCCAGGACAGTCTGAACCTTGGGGGGAGGGGTGTTGTGTACTAACCAAGATCGAAAACATGGTCGAGGTCACACGCAGTCATTGAACTAGCAGAGCTTCGCGACCGGACACAATAGCGAGAGCAGATCCTAGAACAGACCAATAGGGCAGTCAGGATCCAAGAAGGGACCTATGGGTGTGGGTGCACTGTAAATAAACCAATCACGTGTGTGGGTGTGGGTGTTGGGTGCGGCATGAAACTGGCTTTTAAGCAGGCTCTGGCCCCTGCGAGGGCATCTCAGTTTTCTCCTGCCTTTAATAAAATATGAGCTAATCCCTACAACACGTCTGGACCCAGTACTTTACACAGGCCAACCCCATTTAGCTTCCAACACCTGATGAGATCAGGCTATCCTGGACCATCCAGGTAAGAACAGAGATGAACAGAGGCGTTTACCATTGCCCACCTCTGCGTAGCAACCCTGGACTTCCTTGGTGGTCTCCCATCCAAGTACTAATCAGCGCCAACCCTGCTAAGCTTCCGCAGTCTGACAAGATCACATCAGCTTGGGACATCCAGGTCAAGGCTACTGATTTTATACTAGCCTTTAAGGGAGCGGTGGCGCAGGCGGTTAAACGCCTGCTAATAACATCCATGAACAGCTGTTACAGCTGTTCGAAACCCGCTGCGGCCAGAGTGAGCACCTGGCCCTTGTCCCAGCTCCCGCTAACCCAGCGGTTCGAAAGCGCCAACTAACATCAATGTGCAAGTAGATAAATGGGAACCTACCTTAGAAGGTAGGGGGCACCCTCCGCCGCTGTGGGGGTCGTTGGAGCGTCGGAGCCCGGTGGATGGCGAAAGTGGCGAGCGGCGAAGATGGCGTCCGGGTACATTGGAGGCGGAACAGACGTCGGCGGAGAGGTGGAGCCAGGACGACACGTGAGCGTGGATGGCGCAGGCGGGGCGGAGCAGCAAAGACTGAGCCAAGGCCGCGCCAGAGCATGCCGCGTGACAGAAGGGCCTGACCCATCCGCCACTGAAAGACCACCAGGAAGGAGCCAGAAGCCGAGGGATGCCGAAGTCGACGTTGCCGACCCGAGAGAAAAACCCCTCCACTGGGTGCCAGTAGGGATTGTCCCCACCCCTAATAATTGTGGCCATAGGTTAGGGATAAATGAGTAACTGTAGCCGCTCAGAGACCCCTTAGGGGGTTAGAGCAGGGTAGTTTTTTGTGGTTCTGTTTCACTGCCATGCTGTTTGATTAATGCCTTTTCTTCATTTTGTTTTACCTTCCATCTGTTTTTTATTTGTTGGTTATAACAGAAAAGTCGAGTATCCCCCCCCCCCACAAGAACAGATCACTTGTTGCAGAATATAACATAATCCCTCTCAGACATAATGCCTTAATATCGAATTTTAGGGCAAAGTGCTAGGCTCTTGACCAGACATTTCTTTTCCAACTTTTGCATTCATGTCCCAACATATCAAAAACTCTTTAAATGCCCAGCAAGAGACACAGCCGCTTCTGCTGCAGTTTGTTTTGTGAACAGTAGCGACCAATCGCGTCGTCATAGCACCGGGGCAAACTACTCCTGGTAGTGTTTACAAGGCTGATCACCACAATACCTGAGCTTGGAAATATTCCACAGGTAGGCAAACATCTTTTCCCAAAGTTGTTATATGTGCCCAGGGAGGTATTTCCCTAAGCAAATACCTGTTAGGATCAACTGGCTTGCTTTGAAAACTCTTGCAGAGCATGAGAGCCACCAGAAGACATGCCTTTGGGGCAGAGCTCAAGGTGCCAGTCATGATCTACGAAATCCTGGATGCCTTAGGTTCTGTGGAGATCTCCTCCCACCTGTTGTCCCATCAGATAGTCCAGACTGTCTTTAGTAACAAATTGATGCTTGTGGATCACATTTGAATATCAAAGGCATGCAAAGTTGGGTTGCCTTTGCTACCCTGACATCCCTACTGCACTTTTAGACATACACGCACCCCGGCGAGGCTATGGGACACACAATGCTTAAACCTCACTTATCCAACCTGTTAATTTCCTTATAGTTATTTAGACATTTATATTCTGCTTTTCTCCCCAAATGGAATCACAAAGGAGCTGACAACACTGTTTTATCCTAGCAGTGGCCCTGTGAGGTTGGTTAGGCAATCACTGGCTCGGGGCCACCCAGGGAGTCTCCAAGGCAGAATGGCTCTGGCTCAGTGGTAGAACATCTGCTTGGCATGCAGAAGGTCCTGAATTCAATCCCCAACATCTCTAGTAAGGATCAGGTTGTAGGGGATATGAAAGACCTCATCCCAAGATCCTGGAGAGCTGCTGCCAGTCTGAGTATTTATTTATTTATTAATCAGATTTATACCCCGCCCTCCCTCGTAGGGCTCAGGGCAGCTACTGACCTTTATGGACTAACAGTCTGATTCAGTAGAAGGCAACTTCTTGCGTGTTCATGTGAATCTCCCACATTCTAATCCAATGTACCACTACATGGGCTCTTGGGGAAGGGGCACACTATGATCATGAATGAGGCTTCCATTCTAGTACTAGGGATGGGCACAAACAGCATTATTGCAGTTCACCAACCAAATCAATTTGTCAGCCACTTAACTCTGTGCTTTCTGCTCCCTGTGAAAAGCAGTGGTTTAAACGGATCTGAGCCATTTAAACCAAACAGGCAAGCGGTAGGGAGCAGAAAGCAGGGATTTAAATGGCTCAGAGCCATTTAGACCCCTGCTTTCTGCTCCCCACTGCTCCACTTTTTTCACAAAGAGCAGAAAGCAGTGGTTTAAATGGCTCTTCACCAACTGCATCAAAACCTGTGGAAGTTTGTGGTGCCACTGCCTCCTCAGTTTGTAAAGATCCCTTTGTGAACTAAGAACTGCCCAAAGTTTGTGATGAAATTTTGTTAATGAGCTGGTTCATGCCCATCCCTATGTTGCTCTTCATAGCCTGGGAACAGTGGAAGACCATCTATGATATTTTAACCCCCACCCCTTCAAGACCTTGAAGTAGCATACAGTCTTTCACAGGCCCATAGCCAGGATGTTTTAAGTCGGGGGCCATTTACATTTCTTGGGGGGGGGGGGAACAGGCTAATTGAATGAAAGAAATACCCGGCTCCTTCCCCCACACCTGCCACCGCTTGGGGCCCTGGCCTGCATTGGAAGTTGTGGGGCCTAGCCAATAACTCAGGGAGCTTAGCCCCGAGATACCCCACTGTAGCCATGGATCTGGTCTTTCATTCATGCTTTCTCTTTACAACAACTCTGAGGTTAGCAATGTAGAGGAGGAGGCTGAGAATAACTTGTCTAAGGTTGCCCAGCAAGCTTCAGGGGAGAGTAGGGATTTGAACCCAGGTCAACCTAACCCCCAGAGGCTTTTACCTCCCCCCTTTCCCCAGCACCTTGAGTTGCACACATGGCCTTTCATTCGTACTTTCACTTCCTAACAACCCTGTAAGGTAGATAAATGTGAAGTTCGAAGTTGGTAATGACTGGTCCAAGGTTACCTAGTAAGTTTCAGGGGAGAATAAGCATTTCAACCCAGGTCTGTGCTGTCATCCTTAACCCAAAGACATTCTGGGCTTGATCCACATGTGCTTCCCTTTCTTGGTTCTCCAAAGCCTGAGCAAGAATATTATTCAAAAACACAATGACTCCCCACACCTTGTCCGAACACTTAAAATTTAAGCATACAGAGGGCATTTAAGGGCATTTTATGAGATTGGTAAATATGGTTTATCTTTTTTTACATTGCAGGACTCAGAGTAGGAGAGGACATAAATTGAGACAGGCAAGTAAATTAAAAGATAACACAAGGAGGGGAAGACTTTCACTAACCCTCCTGTACACCCCCACGGCCCAGCAACGCAGGGTCCTTTATGTGAGTTATAAATGGAGGTAAAATTATTAATTTAGCAGACACCTACAACTTCAACGCTCCCCTTTCCTACACGAATTGATGCAAGAAAGCCAACAGGCATCCCAGCTGAGGCTATACACGTTTTTCTTAAATCTGGGTCCCGTCTGAGGGTAGTGCATTCCCGCACAAGATCGGGTCCTTCGGTTGCCCGGAAAAGGAGATCAGTAACGCTTTGCCTCCTGCGGAGGAACAATCGACTTAGCAGATTCAAGCAAAAGTATCGCTCGTGTCTTCTTTCTCCAGGCTTCTGCTGCCTAATGGCAAGTTGGGTACAGAGATCGCTCCGCCGGCTGCTGGGGGGAAAAGGCACAGGGAAAGCGGCACGTACAGAAGAGCGCCATCCCCGCTCGCTGAGCCCCACTGCCCGCTAAGCGCCGCTTGCGAAGCCCAACTGCTATTGCTCAACATCCGCGGCTCATTCCCTGCACCCCTCCGCGTCCCAGCAGCGCCCTCCGCGTCCAACCGCGGCACTGCGACTCCCTCCCCCGACTCAGCGACCGCAAAACAACAAGCCCTCGCT